ATCCTTCATTTAAATTTTACAAGAATAAAAATATAATTCTTGTTCGAGCGTTAAGAGATATTTTCATACCATGTGGTAGATTTATGTTAAAGAATAGCTAGTTACTACTAATATTAATTTGATTGTACTAGTGAATATTTGTAAAATTATGGTTGTCTCAAAGTTTATGATAACATATAATTATATGTATTTAATTATAATAAGAGACGCGAAGATATGTGAATTAGTTTTGCGGCTTAAAACTCGCGGTATTATATGTGTATTATTTTTGTGAATTATTTTGATCTCAAAATATAATAAAGGATATAAGAGGTCTATATCACATAGATCGGGATCAATTTTAACCCTTTCCCGTTCATATTATTTACCCCTTCATTTTATTTGATAGAAAAAATAAGTTAAAAAGGCAAACACATGATTATTTATTCTTTCATCTGAAAATATTGATAATTGAAACTAGAACTTTATTAATAATATAATCAAGTTCTTTTATTTGCACATCAACCTCAAACTAGCAATATAAAACTCATGTATACTGATTATTTAGAATAAACTTAAATTAATTGACTGAAGGGAGAATTTCATATTGGCCATGAAAAATATAATTTAGTGCTCAAAACTCAAAAGATAATGAGGAATATGTATGAAATTGCTTAGAATATATAGCCATTTGAAATACTTAATTTTGGTAAGTGACACAAATTATGTATTAATTAATCATATTTTTCTTAATTTGATAATTGTATAATGAAATATTTTAGAATAAATATATACCCATTTAAAACACTTGATCTTTTGATAAGTGATACAAATTATATGTTAATTAATCATATTATTTCTTAATTTGTATATTCATATAATTCTGAATATAAAAAAGTTGATGTGTCATCTTTTAGGTTAGGGGAATATACACGTGTATGACACGTGTCTGTCCAAATACATGTATCTCAAATATATGTTAATTTATATACATCACATTATCTAAATAAGGAAGGCAATAAAGTCAATTGTATTGATTGTTATGGCTGGATATTTATTAATTAATCATAGTTGTTATTTTTGGATATTTATGAATAGATAATTGAGGACTCTATTTTAGGTTAATTTTAATGAGCAATTGATATCAATGTATCTTACTCCATATATGGCACAAATTATTAAATGATGGGATAATAAGTAATTATTTGAAAATATATTTTAAATTAGTAGATAAATGTCTAATTAAGTAGTTTAGCCAAAAATTAAATATATCCTAGTAATTAGTTCATCATCTTTTATAAATTATTTCATTTCCCTAAAATAACTCTTCCCCCTTTCCCATTAGTAATAACTCACTAATATTTTTTAATCTATTTCCTTAATTTCCTTTCTATTTTGTTTTATGGTATATGATCCTAATTAATTGTAAGGTGTATTTACTTTTGGAATGCAAAAATGAATAAATGTTTTTGTATGTCCGTGTTTTAATTTTATTTTATTTTTCAATCAAGTAATTAGTGAATGGGGTAAATAATTAAAAAAAAAAAGTTTGGGTTCATAGAACTAGGGGTGTTCATCGATCAGTTTTGTTTATTGATTTTTGATTCATAAATATGTAAATTAATAAGATATTTTTATCGATTTTCGGCTTTGGTTATTAACAATTTGATTTTCGATTTAACCAATGAGAAAATGCTTATAAAAAATATATGATTTTTTCAATAATTTGACACTATGAGACAGTAATGTAACTTTACGAGTGCTCACAAAATGAAAACAATAATAACCAATATAAAAAGAGCTATACAAGTGTAACACAAATAGGAAGAGCGTTCTTACTTTAAGTTTTGATATTTGGTATAATGTGAAGTTGTGAATTCAAAATCACTGTGAAATTTAAATTAAAGGCTAAAGGACAGAAACAATAACTAGTAAGATATTGATATTGATATTAATATTTATGTATGGATAAAGTAGTAATTACTACTATCATAATAGGTTATCGGCTTATAAATAACTTATTATTCAAACATCAAAATCGAATTGATAACTAGATAAATTTTTTTTAAAAAAAATGTTAACCCAATAACTCAATAATAATAAATTAATAACATTTTTTTTTCCAATTCAATTTATCAGCAGATATGGAATTTTGAAACACTTTGTCATGATTCAAGTGTATTGCAATGTCTTATCTTTAATTTTATGAAATTTCAATTCAATTAAAACCTTAATTTTGAACTTAAACAAGAGAAAAAAAGAAGAAGAGAAATTATATTATGAGTGATCTGTCACGATCCAAATCGAGTCGTGAGTCATATCTACATTTAACCTCCGAGGTGGGCGAACGAATAAATTCAACCCCAACATATATTAATCATTCATCTTACAAATTACTAATGTGGAAGCTTAAGTTTCATTAGTGTAAGAAACACAAATCCATTATAATCTACTATATGTCATCCAAAACCTGAAAATCATCACATTAAGGATATCTTATTTTCAAATGTTAAGTCTAAGAGTAATAAAGACATCAAAATAATTAAATAAAATAGTTTCTATCCAAAAACTAAGGACATCATGTCATGACCGAGAGAATCCAATACTAGCTTGAATGAGCAGCTCAAACTGGAACCTGATATGCTTGAGACTGGCTAGAACTGAAGGTGAGTCGAAGTCGTTGGTACACTCACTACACTCCATAAAAGGAAAACAAAGAAAAACACAAGTAAGGCTCAGTACGAGGCAACATATACTAAGTAGGTGTCATTGGCCAACCCAAAATAGAAACTAATATACAATGAATAATAGTATGAACTCAACTATAGCACTTAACAGATGATAAACAACAAACAACATGAGCCAGGGTCAACAACACTAAAGTAAGTATGCACTGAGTCAACAATATCAAGATCATCCATGAGGACTCGTGCCTCCAACCAAACCATTTGGAGAATAAAGTTTTTTGAGCTTGAGTACATTAAGTTAATTCAATATATTTTTCCTTTAATGTTACTGTGTCGGAACGTGACACTCCGATCCAATTATACCATGTCGAAATGTGACACTCCGTTCCAAGAATACCGTGTCGAAACGTGACACTTCGATCCAAGAATATCGTGTCGAAACGTGACACTCCGATCCAATTATACCGTGTCGGAACGTGACACTCCGATCCAATAATACCATTAATTTATCATATATTATCACCACTTTTAATTCATTGATAATATTTCATCAAGCCTTCTTTATTCAAGGCATCTTTATTAAAGAGGTTTCAAGAATATAAATTCCACGATCTCATGATTTCAGACCAATCACAAAACACACAACCATACAATCAAGTACACAGAAAACTTCACAATATCATTCAATGCATATCAATCACTATTAAGAGCTTACTATCAAATAGCATAAACCATAACCTACCTCTATCGAAGAACCGAAGACAACATGCTACTTCTCCAATACTTTTCCTTTCCTCAATGCCTTCGAGCCTTTACCATCTATCAAGTATATGTGCATAATTTTGTAAGTTAACTAGTCTACAGACACCCCTATTACTATATGTCTAGTCTAAACCCAAAAATTTACCAAGCACAATTCTATGTTCAAGTTCTTTAACATCTTAAGGTCAATCAATATGTCAAGTTTCCTATGTCTTAAATTCAAGCCTAGGGTTAAGTCTTAACCTCCAAGTGACATAACCTTAATAGTATTCAAGTACTATAATATACCTAATATTTAATTACCTATTTCAATATATCAAGACCTGAATTATAATATGATAATCGTGAGAAAACTAAAGGGTTGAAATCACATATTTAAACTTTACCAAACCTGTATTCCATGCATCCTATACATTTCTATAAGGTATTCCCAGCAATCACTGCCATATCATTGGTCATAATCATTATGAACTAAGAATGGCATCAAGAATTTGTCATTAATTTCTAATTATAGTTGTTATTAGCCGTAGTAAAATTCCAACAATTATAAATAGTTCAAAATATTCATTTAGAATCTATCGAAAATTATTTTATGAAATAAAATGCTTAATTGCTCAAAACGAACAAATGAATTATTATATTAAATATTAATTTATCCATCGTTCATCCTCGAACGATCAAAAGAAGGCGAGAATAAAATAATTTGAGACAATTATTTTTAAAAGTAACAAATGGGACCTAAGAAAAGATTTCATTAATTTCTGTCTTAAAGTTGTCTTTAGTTTACACGTGACTAAATCAACCTTTTTGGCAGCAAATTCACTGCACTTTAATTTAAACACAAACAACTTTATAGACTACTAGCTTATTGCTATTTCAAAATTTCAAAAATATTTTTTTAACAATTATTACAACAAATAATAAGAATGTAGAGTAATTACAAGAGTAAAGTCAAATATAATTTTTTGAAAAAATTAACCAAAAGTAAAAAAGTTTTATTTTGACCTTTTCAAAAAGTTTAAAATGTCAATGAGTTTAGTCAACAGTACTAAAAAGAGTTCAATTGGGCAGTGGAATCCCATGTCTCTTGGTCATTGTTTTTTGTCTTTTTACTCTTTAAAATACCATTTCAAAATTCAAAGTATTGTGTCCTAATTGACCTTATTTAATTGCATCATGACAAGAGTTTTTCAAATATATTCCCTCTGTTTCTTTTAGCGGTTATAATTTCATCTTTTTAGTGTCAAACGATATAAATTTTAACTAATATACTCATGAAACACGATTCACTTTGAAAATGTATTTATATTGATATAAGTAAACACACGAGATTCAAACTCTCTTGCTAAAAGACATAGAAGTTCAAAAACAACCATAAAATCAACTTCGTGTGACCCATAGGTCACTAAGTTTAAAGCGTTGCTTGCATGATATTAGGCTGTCTACATCACACTTTTGAGTTGCAACCCTCGTAAAACTTAGCTAATGCGAAATATTTTTTTAGAGTTCTATCACCTCTACATCTTTTTGACACAAACAAATTAAACTACAACACAATAAAAGACAGCAAGACAAATAATTGCTCAGACATAGTAAATTGAAAGTGGAACACTTGATCATTTTTCAATGGCAATTATACACCAGAAAAAGAAAAATTCAATGCTAGGTACAATAGAACCAGCTCAAAACTCTAACTACTTGTCACTATTCAGCAAATACTCAAATTGCTTCATGATTTCCCCTATATTGGCATTTACATAACATGCTTGGACAGTTAAAAGTAGGACAAGTAGTTACAAGATCAACAAAATTCTCCACTTAGTTAACCGAAGGCTTTTGGTTCGCCTAATGTTCATCGTTGTCAAAAGCTCCTTTCGACTGTATTATAACCCGAGCTCCTGATGCAAGCCTGTTGAAAGAAACAAGGAAGACATTTCAACTAACGTAATTCGATAACAAGGAACATAACATATCTTTAGTTGAGTGAAACTTAACTTTCTTCAATTTTGATCATACTGTCTTTCTCCTCTCTGAAAGAGTCTATTCTATTTGAGTGTATCTTATCAGATGGCTCTGTAATTCGCTTGCTTCCTCCACGGGATGTGTCAGATGTAATGGTCCGTGAACTGCCTATTCCGTCTGATGAGATTCTAGGACCTTCAGAAACAGGAGACTTCATTGACTCGCTTCTTGCTTGCTGCTTATTTAGTGTCGCCTTGATGGAACGTGGAATGCACTTTATGACTGAGCTTTTCTCCTCTTTGTCTTCAACTGAATCTACATGTTCTTTATTTGTCCTGCATCAACAAATTCAGTTTCCAACTCAACATTTAGAATGACATGCAAAATCGGACAAAGAATTCTTGGTCAATAGCTACAATTTTTCTTCAATAGGAAGTAGTTCTATCAGCCATCCACACAATATTATTCAAGCTAGTTCTATCACTCATATAACGTCAAATTATCAATGCCGAATCATCTCATTCTCACTTCCCTCATCTTGTCCTCCACCAGGGCCACCCCGACCTTGTCCCGACTATCTTAGTTCCTATATCTATCTTCCCTAGTGTGCCCTCAAACATCCATCTCAATAAGCTCATTTTTGCAACTTTCACCTTCTGGACGTGTGAGTTCTTGACCAACCAATACTCCGCCCATATGATCTAACAACCACTTTATAAAACTTACCTTTAAGTGCCAGTTTTCTCCTTAACCATTGTCAAAAATATTGATGTTTTTTTCCCCAATAATGCAAAGATACTTTACGACAATCATCATGAGATAGGATAAAATAATTAAACATGAGCCAAATATGATTTGCACTGTGAATGTTGACATGACTAAAACTGAAGGAAATCAGATGAGCAAAATTAAGCAGCTATTATCTAATAGGCAAGAAGTCTGAAATATCATACTGGTAAAGCATTTATTAATTACTTCACAAGTGTTTCTACTGAATTAGTGTAGAATAACAGATAAAAACATCAACCTGTCAGCATTGTAGGACGACGACCGCTTTAAAAGGGTAGGTTCCTTGGGCATATTCGTCTCGAGAAGGCTTCCACTAAAGTATTCCTTATCTTCCAACCTCAAACTCATAAACTTAGGATTCTCTGCCAGGCAATCAAGATCTCCTAAAGTTAACGAGGTTGAGAACAGAGGAGACGGGAACTTTGAATGCGAAAACCTCGGCCTGTAGGTAGGAATAAGACCAAAACTATGATCCTTTACTGAAATCGATCCACAAGAAATTAGTTGCATCAGCACATTTGAGGGCTTTAGCTTAGTTTTTGGAACCCGAAATTCCTCTCCTTCAATTATTCTAAAGCTGTTGAGCTTATTAATATCAGCTCTGATGAGGGATTCTAAGGTATCTGTTCTACCACCTGATGACGATGCACTTGACGAAGACGGAGCAGGCGATACTGTCTCCCGGCAAATCTGCGCAGATTCATTTGTTGGTTGAACCTGAACCTCTTGAATTTCATTATTTCCAAGCTCTATAGACCCATCATCTGTTGAAACACCTCTCGTGCAAGTCTCTGGCGGTGTAGATTTGCTTCCATTTTCATCAGTCTGAGTTGAAGCATCGGCGAGACCTTCATTCTTATAGATCTTGTACTCTGCCAAGCTTAATGAACCATTCCATGAAGAGCTTTTATCAGCACTGGACGATTGAGGAGATACCGCTGAAGAACCTGATCGTTGAACAGGAGGTGATGATTCATCATCTTGAGAATTCTTTGTACCTTTTTCATTCATGCTAGAAGAAGACGAAGTGTCATCTTGGCTTCTAGAGGATTGTGGTTCTGGCAGCAGCTTTTGGTTAGACAATCTAACATTTCCAGCTGGACTGAAGCGACCTGGAATCAAAGGGCCAGGTTACTTATAGTTGGTCTATAAGTACTAATGATCCCAAAACTGTAACCATTCACAGTAAAAGGGAACTCGAGTAGCAAGAGCTATGCAGCTAAATAAACCGTTTGCCTCAATAATTTTTTGGCATCTATAGCGAAATGATGTTATAGAGAATACAACACAACACAAAAGATTGGTTCCACAGAAAATATAACATGTTATAGTGAAATGTTGTTTATAGAGAGGTCCGACTGTATTACATTAACAATCATGTGGTTCAAATTGTATATTTCTAACAAGGAGGTCTAATATACCTGCATCGGATTCATCAAAAAGTTCCGAGCCTTTAAGAACATATTCATTACCATGAGCAGGAAGAATGAGGTCCTCTTCACAAAGATCATGCCAGACGAAACCGTTCTTGTAGCTTCTGTTTTCATAATCAAACAATACATTAAGCACACGGACTACATTGATATCTTCCATTTAAAACCAAATTTGACAACAAACCAAAATTGTTGAATAATTTCTACCTCTTGCAAGACCATGAGTACAATGAAGCCATTCCTCGACCTCTCAAAACGTTAAGCCTCTTAATTACATCTTCAAAAGTAGTACAACACAAATAAATTTTCCAAAGCAAAACAAAAAACATATAGCACTAACTTATGTTCTACAACCAAACATTTGTTTACCCCTTAAGTAGAGACCATCAGTGGAAGACAGGGGCACTTCAATGAAATGAGGATGTTCGAGCTGTCGATTTCTACAGAGATAATATACAACAGGCACTTTGCCATTACTCAACCGTGCCGGCTGCTGCTGCTGATACTTGGGTGATTTCTCAGTCCAAACTTTTGCTCTCTCTGGACTCAACTGCCCGTATTTCTTCATACGCCCGTCCATTGAAACAATTAATTTCACACCAAGAAACAAACCCTAACTCACAAGTAAACCACCATCCTCAACTTGATCTCAACAAATACCTAGTGAATCAGTTCACAATCCAATCATCAATCAACTCAGCACCAAACATTTCCATTGAAATCACCTCTAATAAGCTACAATTAGATCTGAAGATTGAAAACCCAAAAACAGCAAGAAATCACACAGTAGAAACATACAAAAACAGACAAATCACCATTTCCATTTTCAGACATGACAAATACTGAACACCCATTTGCTTATTTAATTCCAGAAAAGAGTTGAATTAGTCAAAAAATGGAATCTTGATAAGTACCCACTTACAGAAATGTCTTAAAACAGCCAAATTTTGCACACATTATGAAAAACAAAGATCAAAAAATGGAATCTTGGTGAGTACCCACATACAGAAATGTGTTAAAACAACCAACCTAAGCAAAAATATGGAAAACAAAGATCAAAATATGGAATCTTGATAAGTACCCACATACAGAAATGTGTTAAAACAACCAATTTTTGCACAGATTATGAAAGACAGAGATCAAAAAAATGGAATCTTGATAAGTACCCACAAACAAAAATGTCTCAAAACAACAAACTTAAGCACAGCTATGGATAACAAAGATCAAAAAATGGAATCTTGGCAAGTACCCACATACATAAATGTGTTAAAACACCCAATTTTTGCACATTAATTATGAAAGACAAAGACAACCATTTTTTCCCAACCTGAGAGGTAACATGGATAGTGTTTAATGCATGATAAAGTGGACCATAGAGAGTAGCATTGAGAGGAAAAATGGATTGAACTGACAGGTAAAAAAAAAACAGAAGGATTTATCGAAAAGACAGAGAAGAAATGAAAGGGACTGGTAAGATACGAGCTTTTTCTTGAACTGTAGTGTTACTACTACTGTGTAACTGTGTGTTTCTGAGTTCTTTGAGGGTTTTTCTTCTCTTTTGCTTTCCCCCCCAACTTTTTCTATGGCTTTTTCCTCATTTTGCTCTAGTTATGTTTGCTTGTGAAAGAGTATTCTAATGGGGGTTTCTGCCTTTACTTTCTTTTCTTTTGATTTGGAATTGTTTTGTTTTGATTTGGTTTTTGGTTTTTTGGTCCCTTTCTTGTACATTTTGTTATTTTTTTTTCCCTCTTTGTCATGTTATCGAAAAGTATTTAAAACACTTTTTAAACTTTTTATAAATTATAAGTTTCATTTTTACGTAATCGACAATCTTATACATTATTTAATAACTAAACTTAGATACATCTTCGATTTGTCACATTACATAGCAAGTAATCTTTAACTATTAGGAGTTTGTGACTCCTAATAAAAAAAATCGAGAGAAAGTTGAAAACACCTTTAAATTTTGACGAGAATTTAAGAGTGTATTTCACTCATATTTGTAAGTTCGAGTGTATTTAAGCTTAGTTAATCAAGTAAATGAGTGTTTTTTAATGCATCAATAATTTGAGAATGAAATAAATAATTCACAGGAAGTTAATGTGTGTTTCAATACTTTTCTCTTTATCTGTCCAATACGTCTTTTATATGGAAGCTTCGGAAATTTTAGTAATTAAGTTGGTTAGTTATTTAAATTTTTATTATATTGATGAGAGTTCGAATTTTCTCTTCATAATTTTCCTTTTTTATTTACCTTTCTCCGAACTCCAATGTGAAAAAGAAACATTAAACAAACAAACACACACCCTTACTCTACTCCCACATTTCACAATTCAATTAAAATTAAAGAATTGTTAATTTGATTAATTTAGATTAATATCAAAACTTCTTGAATAGAAAACGTTTCTTTTTTATATTTTATTTGAATTGTTTTAATACTATTATTAGATATTTGAAAATAACTAGCTTTTTCTTTATTACTTTTACTTTTTTTGACATAATTATTTGATATTTAAAATTTACTAATTTAAATAATTTGATTTGCGTTGAAATTAAAGGAGAAATTGCATTTCCCTTCGCAATTTGATTTGTGTTAGGATCTATTAAAAAGAAAGGTCATAATATTCCTCTCATTTCATAATTCTTATATTTCTTGGTATGAATGATTATCTAATATTTGAAATTTATTAATTCAAATAATTTATATTTCTATGAAAGTTTATTAAAAGCAAAAATATTCTCTATTAGAGGATCTTTCTATTTTCATAATCCGGAAGCAAGACCTCTGTAATTAAGAGCGAAATAATTTTGTACTATATTCTTGATTATTTAATTTACTTTAAAAAATACAATCGATAAATAAAAAAAAATTATGGAAATACACGCCTTATGTTTTCTTTTTTTTCTTTTTTTTGAAAACCTCTAAAATTTCTTATTTCTTTAATGTATCTGAGCCACTATTTAATGTATTTGAGTTACATAAATATGTGATTTTTATTTTATAATGTATCATATCTAGTTATTAATATATTCGAGCTGCATATTATGTATCCAGTTTATGTTATAATGTATGTGAGACACTCTTTAATGTATCCGAGCTACATATTAATATATTCTATTTGTATTACTTTTTAAGGAACGAAAGTAATTACAAAGTAAAGAGAAATAAATTATAGTTTCATATTAAAACCACGTGATTCCTAAAAATTATCCATAAATTAACACATTAGAGTCAAAAAAGAATGTAAAATGAGACTATTTTTAGAGAATAATAGTAGTAGATTAGGTGGCAGTTCTATTCTATTAAATATAATTTAGATTATTTAATTAATCAAAGTCAAATTAATTTTATTAATAAGAAAAATATAACTCTGCTTAGGTAAGCTTCATAACCTTTTTTTTTTTTTATAAAGTTTGAATGGGAAAAGTAGGTAGATAATTAAGTAAAAGTAATCTAACTATGATAAATTATTACTTTAAAATAATAAATTCGATGGGACACACCTACCTAACCATAATATGTATGGAATATAATGAAATCGATGAAAAGGCGGCCCAATGCATTATATTTTTGTTATTTATAAAATTTAAATAATTAAATCATAAAGATTTATTATGTTTAATTTTTATTTTGTATTTTTGTAGGAAGTTACTTAAATTTTTTATCTCTTCGTCACATATCATTAGTTTTATTAATAATTTCAAGACTTTTCATCGTATAATAAAATAGAGTTCGAAGCATAAATGGCATAAAATATTAATAAAAATTTTAAAACAGTATATAAAACTTTATATTAGCTAAAACGGAAAAATCGCTGAAATAATAATGATTTAACTCTATCGGAAAAAGCAAAATTGCGCAGCAGCGATTTTACAAAATTTAATTATTTTTTTTAAAAAAACATTCAAATCGCTACCTAGTACCTAGGCAGCGATTTTCAATTTTATTTTTTAAAAATATATATTTTTTTGAAAATCGCTGCCTAGGCAGCGATTTCCATTTTTTTAAAAAAAATTAAAGAAAATCGTTGTCTTTCAATTATTTTTTTAAAAAAAAATCGCTGAGCTTTTCAATTTTTTTAATTTTTTTTTAAAAAAATGTAAATCGCTGCCTTTTTTTAAATTCAAACAAAAAAAAATCGCTGCCTTTTTTTAAAAAAAATGAAAAGGCAGCAATTTTCTAAAAAAAATAAATTGAAAATCGCTGCCAAGGTAGCGATTTGAATTTTTTTAAAAATAAATAAATCATATTTTGTAAAAAGTCTGCAGTAGCAGTGATTTTGCTTTTTACGGTAAAGTAAATCGTTGTTGTTTCAGCGATTTTGCCATTTTGGTTAATATAAAATTTTATATGTCATTTTAAAATTTTTATTAATATTTTATACCCTTTAGGCTTCAAACTCTAATAAAATAATTATAAGGTATAATTATAGCCGATCCTAATTAATTTAAATAATTACAACATCTTTTAATTAATTAATTTAATTAAGAATTATTCACAAATTTCGAATTTGAGACCTTCCGTCGAGAGTATTATTAACACCACTCTATATGAGAAGGTGCTAAAATGACATATATAGTCATATAAAATATAAATTTTACTTTAATCAAGAATTGGTAGCTCAATATGCTATAAAAATTGTTGGTACATAAACAAATGTATATTATAAATAAAGAATAGAAACTGACAAAAGACACAATAATATTCTTGTCCACCTAATAACAAGTAGCTGACTCAGACAGTAGTGGATTAAGTAATCTATTAACAATTAATTAATAATATTACTTTCTTCACAAAATAAGTGTTTTTTATATTTAAAAATCCAAAATAAATGTTATTTAAGGAATTTAGGATAAAAATTAATAATTTTTCAACGATATTTTTATATATTCCATCTTTTTAATTTGTCAAATAAAAGGTGATTTAATAAGCTGCATAGTATATTTATTATATTTTACTAAAATAGATGTGATTTTTATTAAGATGATATGTTTTGAAACAAAGTACTAATTAATGTGTTTAAAGTTTAAGTGATACTTTCTTTAATTGCTTCATGATTTGGACATATACCCTCTTAATCAATCATTTATTCCTTTTACTTATATGTAGAAGAAAAAAAAAAGGTTTTATTTTTTTATTTTTCTTTTTTCAGGTTATATTATTATAGAGATCAAAAGCTTGCTAATCATTTAAATTTGTGTTGCATCTTAGAAAGCAATTGATTTTTTTTTTATTTTGATGTGAGATTTATCTAAGATGTTTAATACGTATTTTTTAAAAGTTTGCTAACCTATGAATCTGTCAATCTTTCTCTTCAACCCACTCTTTGTCATGAACGTCAAACACATCTCCTTAAAGACCTAGCATCCTCGTTGAGATTTATTCCATCACAATTTAAAAAGAATACGTACTCTTTCTATCTCAATTTGTGTGACACATTTCAGATTTTAAAATTTAAACAAATCTATTTTCACGATATAAAAAGTATCAATATTGTATTAGTCACAGCCAAGTTCTTGACACACAATATCTTCTTAATTTGATATAACATACATTCTTTTTTAAAGTTTTGTTAGCTTAGAAACTTGTTAATACTTATTATAAAAGTTTTGTCAATCCTCGAAATAAATACACACTTTCAAAATTTTGTTACAAATGAAAAGATTTTAAAATTGTCTTTCATCAATTTTTATTTTCTTATTCACTAGTAAATTGTGAGTAACGGCTGATTTTTTTATTTTTTTTTGTATTTGGGTAAAATTTAAATATACTTTTAAGTTACAATAATAAAAATAAGCCAAAAATCATAAATAAATTTTTTAAAAATAATTTTTGGTTTATAAATTTTTTGTTTTGATTTTTGACTTATAAATAAAAAAAATACGTACTTTTCCTATCTCAATTTATGTGACACATTTCAGATTTTGAGATTTAAACAAATCTAGTTTTACCATAATTTTCCATATATCTTTTAAATATTTTGAAAAATATTGTTAGTTGTTGTGACTTATAGTACTACTACGTAATTTAAAATTATATAAACTTCATTTGAAAAAAATTAAAGATTCCATGAGAAAATTATCGGTCAAACTTAAATTATTTGACTCTGGAAAAATAAAAATAAAATTAAGTGATGAAAGTTTTCACATTATTTATCAAGACTCCTTAAGTTTAATTTATTTATCTGATTTTAACTCTATACAAAATTTAAGAAAATAGAAAAGACTACGATGAACATACTCATATGAAAAATATATTAATACTAACATATATGTGAGGAATAAAAATTCTACAATGGTCACACAACACATTATATAACATAGGCACTTCTCAAGCTTGTTTTTCATCAACCAAAAAAAAAGAGAAAAAGAGGAAAAAATGTTGTTCAACTTTGATCTTTCAATTATATTCTCACATCTTTATTTTTTCTTCCATCCCTTAATAATAGTGTAGTTATTTTTCATCATGAATATTTCAAAAACCATTTTAATCAATGTTTTCATATATCCAAGTCTACCATAATTCCAAATTATAAATGTTTTTGAAGAAATTCGAATTAGTACTGATAGATTCGATTCCCTTGCCTCATTTATATGGAAGCTCAAACGAATTTTCAACGTTGGATCTCAAAAAAAATTGAAAGTTTGATTTCTTTCGTAAAATAAAGGAGAAGTTGGAAGAGATTTGCGAGAGC